ATAAAAGAGAATATAGATAAAAGATATAAAATAATTAGAACAAATCAGGAAAAGATAATAGCAAATCTTCTAAATAGGCCTTATAAGGAAATAGTACTTGACAGATTTATTAAATAAAAGAAAAAATGAATCTGCTAACAAGCTCAGAAGATGTTAGAATAGGAGTAGCAAAACACTACAAAAAACAATTTAAGAAAAGAAATACAAGATTAGAAAAAAGGTCAAAAGAGTAAAAAGAAATATATAAATCATAAGAAAACATTAAAGAGGAATAGTATATAGAAGTTGAAAAAGAAATTAAAGAAAAAGAATGAAAAGAAACATTAAGAGAACTGAAAACAGAAACAGCTTTAGGCATATTAGATATAAGCTATATTCTGATAAAGCAAGTTGAAAAAAAAACACAATAAATTTTTAGAGGCTTTGCAGATCTATGTCTAGAAGAAGAAAGGATACCAACTAAATGAAAATAGCACAAGTTTATCCAATACCTAAGGATGTTAAGTAAAAATATAGTTTAAACAACATATGACTAATAGCACTAATAGAAACATTTAGGAAAGTTGTAACAAAGATATTAACAAGAAGGCTTGCCAAAGTATTTATAGAAAAAGAAATACTCAAAGAACCAAATTATGCAAACCTTTTAGGTAACTCAACAGAACAACCAGTGCATATTCTTAACATAATAATGGAAGAAGTAAAAAAGAAAGGTAAAGAAGTATGAATACTTCTACAAGACATAAAAAAAGCATTTGACTCAGTTCTAATTGAAAGTCTAGAACTAGCATTATAAAGAATTAAAGTACCTAAAAGAACAACAAGATACATCCTGAATCTGTTTTATGAAAGACAACTAAAAATTATTACAGTTCACAGTCTAATAGAAGAGATAATAGCAAGAAATAGCATAGATCAAGAAGAAGTAATATCTTCATTAATATGACAACTTTTTTATAATCTACTGTTAGAAAGAATATAAAAAGATAAAGATTTAGAATATATAGTAAAACAACAAATTAAAAGAGAAATACAATGCAACAATATCATGAAGTACTACCAAGCAGGCATTATATATGCAGATGATACAATATGAATTGCAAATAGTAAAAAACAGTTAATAGAAATATTAAAAATAACAGAAAAATTTTATAAAATAAATGACATAGAAATAAATAGATCCAAGTTAAAGCTGTTAATAATAAACATAAAAGTAAAAAAAAAAGAAAAAAAAGTAATTTTTGGAGGAAGTAAAATAATAAAAGAAGCAAAGAACAAGGTAGTTCACTCACTATAGATATGGCTAAATAATAGAATAAGTGAAGTACTAGTCAAAAAGACAGCTAAAAAAATAATCAACCAAACAATAAGAGATCTTAGACACAAAAAGATAACAATAAGTCAAATTGCATATATAAACAATATAGTAATAATACAAAAATTAAGTTATATACTATAGCTAACAAAAATGTCAGAAAAAAGTATAAGTGAAATATACTAACTAATAATAAATTTAGTGAAGCAAAAAAAGCAACCTACACAAAATATTAGAAAACTACGTAATAGAATACAAAGGTCTTGAAAGCTGCAAAACATTACGTCAAAAGTTAACAACAAACCAAATAAGTGGCCTATTAGTAAGACTAAACAGACAAGATAGTCTTGGTTAGTTAACAAAATTAAAAATAACACAAGGGTGCCAAAGAGCAGATTTAATGGAAGATATATAGAAAATAGAGAAAATGCCAGAAAATATAAAAAGTTAGAAAAGTAACTTAGTTTGTCTAACATTGCTAAAAGCAAGAAAACTTAATATAAATATAAGAACAGAAGGCAATCTATAGACAATATTTGAATATAGAATTAAAATAAGAAAACTCATAGATACACAATTACAAAAAAGAAGTAGTACTAGAATAAACGAAGCTGACTTAATATATCTAAGCCAGCTGATAAATGCAAAAGAAGAGTGATTAATTACATAATAACAGCTAAAAAATTACCAAGACCTATAAGTAAAGAAAAAAAAGCAGAATGATTTAAAGTGATAAAACTAGAAGTGCTTATTAGATATGAATAGAGAAATTAAAAGAAAATTTAAAACAATCAGGCAAAACACTCAAGCAATGCAAATGAAATAGGAGTATATCTTAGAAAATGAAAAAAGGAAAGAATGAGTAATGCATAATGCATAGAACAATCTACAATTAGAAAAGATAGTTAAGAAGAAAAAGAAGAAAATACTAGTAAAATATTGGCAAATGCAAAGTAAAGAAAGTAAATTAGCTATTGAAATTAACAGATGTAAGAGTTGTATAAGGAAAGAAAAATACTAAGAAAATAGCTACCAATAGTAGATAAGAGTAAATCAGAATTAATATAATTCCAGGTGTATTGATAAAAAAAGGCAGCAACAAAATCAAGATAACAATAAATCAAATAATAAAAATAATAAAAACAAATAAACCAATGACAAAAGAACAGAAACTCAAAGGACTAAGAATAATAGAAGAGCCAAAAGTAAAGATAATTAGACAACAAAAGTTAAAAGGTAACATTAATCAAGAAATAGTTATATTAATAATAACAATTCTTTCTAACAATCATTTGAACCAAACTTTTCAAAAAGCTGAACTACAGAAAAATGATATAATTAATATATTAAACTTTATAAAAACTTTTCTAGAATACTGTACATGCATAGTTGAACATTGAAATAGAGTTGAAAAAGAAGTTGCAGCTTTGTGGTGACAGTTTAAATGCACTTTGGGATTATAGAAGAAGTAGTTGGTGAAAGCCAAAGTTTTTTATAAAGTAAACAACAAAGTTGGATATATTAGTTCTATACAACTGTAAAACCTACAAGGAACACTTATAAAGGTCAAGAACTCACAAAAACTACAAAGTTAGTTTACCTCTTGCCTTTACTTTGCTTTAAGGAAATTTTATAAAAGTAGGTAATTTAGCTTACTCCTTTTAAAGATTAACACATAAAACTACCAAAACAATTAGCAGTATTTACTTCCTAAATGGGTTTGTTAATGATGTAGATCAGAAACAATACAATAATACAAACATAACTATACATGTATCTCAAAATACTAAAAACCTGAAAATATTGTCTTTGGACTAACTAATGCTCTATACTGACTCTCCATAATCAAGTAAAAATTTTTTCTTTCCTATATAGTTTTTTTATTAAATAATCTAAGTAAATAGAAAAATAGTAGAGTTATTTCTATTTAGTATAGTTTATAATTTTTAAAGGCCTGATACAGACATACAATTGTGACTGTCTAATATTTGTGAATTACAAGTTTCACACATTTTTTTTTTTCTCATTTATTCCCTTTTCTTTTTTATTTCTTGATTTGTATCTTTTATCATTTACTCCTATACCTCTGTTTTGTTTTTTTATATAAAAAAATTTTTTTTTTATTTTTTGCTTCTCTGTGAAAAGATGTCATCAGATTGATGATGTTCTATTGTAAAGTGACAATCAGATAAGCAGTCTATTTCTAACTGAAATAGTATAATAGATTATACTTAGATACCATTTGGGTGACCAAGTGATGCTAGACTTATATATTAGAAAAATTCTATGTAATTTGTATAGTTTCAAGAATTCTAATAAAGTACTAGCATGACTGTTAAAGTTAAAAAAAAAATAATAATAATTTAATATGATTAATTAGGTTAAATAAAATTTAAGCCAATCATTTATATGATATAACATAATTATTAAGAATAAAAGAGATCAGTTTGTAAGAATTGCTTATAAATTTTATTCCTAAATTTGTATCTAATTGTAACCTGATGCTTGTGTATATGTACCTAATTGTAACTTAATTACTTATAAATTTTTGGTATATTTGTATCTGAATGTAAACTAATTATAATAATGTGTTTCAACTTGAGATTTTCACTGTTTTCTGAAACTTATGTAAAATTGTAATTTATGTAATACAACCCTAGCCACCCATAAAGTGAAAATTGTTCCTGGACTAATTTTACCATTGTGGAATGAAAAAAAGTTAATTCCGGCCAGAAATTAGTAAACAATTATGTAATGCGGGCCAGATCCACGGCGGTTAACCAACCCAAATCAGTACAAATCCTAAACCAAAAAAAAGTTCGCCATTTATAAAAAATTAAATGAAAAAAATGGGGTTGATACTTTGTAAATATATTTATACGTATAAGAATATATTTTTAATTTGGTTAAATAAAGATTGTTAATAAAGTTTTTGAGAGATTAATTTATCCCGAGTTTGGGTTTTGGGACTTGGGCGTGGCAAACTATAATAATTTTGCAGTGTGCAGCACACGGGATCAAAATTTTGCACACAGAAAAGTTAACATTTTGTAAATAGTGCGCACAATTGCAAACAGTTGCTTGTAGTTTTTCTTTATTTTTCACACAGTAAATTTTAATTGACTACATAAGACCACTTTTTATTATAATAATAAATATATATTACCGAACCATAAATTGTCACGAGTTTTATTAACATGATCTCGACCAATAAATGGATTTTTAACCATGCTTATATTGATTAACGTATACGTATATCGATATATATTTAAAAATACAGTATAATTTTTATTTAGTCATTTAGATATAAATAAAATTTCAATATGTAACTTGTATAAGTATAACGTAATTGAATAAATTACCAAGTCTAGGGTATTCATTAATTAAAGTTTCAAAAGAAAAATTAATACAATACGTAAATTACAGGGGTGCGGCAATATCAAAAATACTTATTATATTAAAACAACTATATATTTTATACTTGTCTAAAATAAATTATCATAAAACATATCATTTTTTGAGCGTTCGTAAAATTTGGTCTGCGGGTAATGCAAGACGAAAATGTAACTTTTTTGTGGCCTTAAAATCAATTTTTCATGCATTTAAACTAAAAATTCAGAGGACAATCATCTCATTGCACGATCACAATCATACCACTTAGCACTGTGGTGTCCCAAAAGTAAAGTTATAAAATTTCCACTACAGTATCATTTGAAGAATTATTTGCACTTTCAAACCGCTTCAATGGTTCATTTTCAGAGTCTTGGTTATCTTTTTCTGTCTGCTTTGATGGTTCACTTTCAGAGTCATCTTTGTCAGACTGTTTTGATGATTCACTTTCAGAGTCAACTTTTTCAGACCGTTTTGATGGTTCACTTTCAGAGCCATCTTTTTCAGAATGTTTTGATGGTTCACTTTCAGAGCCATCTTTTTCAGACTGTTTTGATGGTTCACTTTTAGAGTCCTGATTATCTTTATCAGACTGCTTTGATGATTCACTTTCAAAGTCCTGGTTATTTTTTTCAGACTGCTCTGATGGTTCATTTTCAGAGTCCTGGTTGTCTTTTTCAGACTGCTTTAATGGTTTACTTTCAGAGTCCTGGTTGTCTTTTTCAGGCTGCCCTGATGGTTCACTCTCAAAGGGCTGGTTACCTTTTTCAGACTGTTTTGATAGTTCACTTATAGTGTCCTGGCTATCTTTTTTAAACTGCATTGATAGCTCATTTATATTGTTCTGGTTACCTTTCTCAGAATGATTTGATGGTTCGTTTTCAATGTTCTTGATATCTTTTTCAACATCTACTGATTTTATGGTTTGATTATTTTTTTCGGGATCTCCTATGCAAAGTACAAATCTCCTGTACTTGTATATTATTATACTTAAGACTAAAAACAAGAAAGCAGCACAACTAACAATTATTATTAAAAGTTTTGGCTGCTGAGATACAGAATTTAGTATCGATGTTGGTACTTCCGGATTTTGTGGTGAAGTAGGTGGGGGGACATATGTGTCAATAACGTAATACGCCATTATTCCTTGGTATGCAGAATTATAGTCAAGCGCAACCTTTAAATTGACAATAAATTTATAGGATGAATTAATAAACATAATACAGTATATGCATGGATATAGATTGTAAGCGAGAATGGAATTTGGAGTAAGTTTAGTATTTTGTAATAGAATAATTTATATAAACGAACTCTAATCCTAATATTCCCACTTACAAAAAGTAATACATTAATAAAATACCTCAGATTGAACAATATTTTCTCTTGAATCAAGGTATGAATCATTCTGGCTCGGACCACCTACAATAGCACCATATAAAGGATACATAGTATTTACTGGGTCACTCAAGTTTCCTACGTTTGTTCCTCCAGATGCACCAGCATGATGAGGATTTTTAGGAGAGTTGGGATGAACAGCCACAACATAAAACATTTTCAAAGGATTATTGCCAAATAAATAATCAATTTGTGAGAATACAAAGTTTTTATATGCATTAGCTTTCTCAGCAGTAGATGCGTAAGAAGAATACATTAGAAATCCAAAGGCACCATAAAGAGCAGTAGGTAATGATGCTTGTGGGCTATCACCACACCATAGAAGTCCACCATTTGTATGAGTACAATTATTTTTATATGTCATTATTCCATCCAAGTAACGTTCAGTTTCATTAGCCCAAAGAGTGAGATTTGTCTTTGCATTTTCTTTATCATAGAATGTCTGAGCAAATAAAATATTGCAAGCACCCTAAAAATTATTAAAATAAGAATGAAAGTTAGAACCTTTTAGTAAAAAAAAAAAAAAAGATGAGCTACAGGATAAATACTTAACAGTTTGATCATCCCATGACATAAGTCTTGTACTATTAGTAAATTTAGCTTGGTTATAGTAATTTACCGCTTTGGTTAAGTATAGAGGTTGATAAGTAGCGCGATATAACCAAATAGCGCCATAAACTAATTTATCATAATATGATGAAGTCTGATATCCAAGGCTCGCAGGGACAGACGTTGTAGATAATGTAAAGTTTTGAAGTTCGGCAAAATCATAAATGCTTATAGCATGAGATATTAATGTTTTTGCATAGGTAGTATCATTAAAAAAATCTCGAAATAGAATCGCCGAGGAAGCAAAGGCTGCAGCCGTTGCTGCGGCTATATCAGTACCATGTGCTGTTGAATTAACGTCATAAGAAGGACGTGGATACGGAATACTGTTTATCGTTATGTTTAAACAAAAATAAAATAAAACAAAAATAAAGTAACATTGATTAAAAAGATGCTTGTATGCTATCATGAACCAAATAGATGACTGCCCGAAATTATATATATAAAATTACCCGGATAACCTGGATAATTTAATAATAATAAACGGGTCCAATCTCTACAAATGACATCGATATGTACATACTTAATATCAGGACCCCAATATGTATTATCGAGTTTACTTGAACCAACTTGAATGAAAACTTGATCAGCTTTAGTATGGGCGGCTATCAACCAATCAGTTCCCCATTTGACCATATCATAGAGATATTCGGTTTGGTTTGAAATTCGATATCCATCAAACCATTCGATTGCTCCCCTAAGTGAAGAATATATAATTTAAAACTACGCAGAAAATAGAGAATCAAGAATTCTAAGCAAATCGACAAATCACCATGAAATGATAGACAGTGTCCATGACAATGGTAAAGTGAACTTTACGTAATCCCCTATAAAAAATGCAGTTATGAATTGTGTATAAAATCGTGGATCATAAATTTTAGGAAAGCATACCTGCATCATAGTAGCCCTAGAAGTTATTTGTTTTTAAATTATTAATTAAAATGATTAATATACACATATGGGTAACGACAAAGACAAACTTGTTATCGGGGTTTCATGTTTAAAAGCCCGATGATAACAGGTTTTCCTCGGTGGCATCTGTATATAATAACGAAACTCACTCCAGTTAAGTTTACACCTCTGTCTTTCCCGTCATCAATTGCGGAATTATGTCTCCTGATGGTTAAAATAAAAGTTAGTAAACTTTTTATTCGAAGAAAAAGCTATATAAAAGTTAAATTTACCAAGATACTCGATTGTTCGGAGGCAAGATTCCACTTCTTTGAGCTTCATAAAAATATAAAGAATAAGCCAACAACTTTGAATAATCGCTTCCTTCTTTTGGAATACCGGGTATATCGGGTGAAGGATTTAGACCAAGAGAACTTTCTGCTTCAACCACAGGAATTACACGTATAATACATATCATAACTAGCGTCAAGAAACATAATGTATATTGTAATTGGGTCATATTCATATCTTTGCACGAGCAACTAATTTTTAATAAAATTAGAGACGAGGCTTAAGAGATTCTTTCGCAGAAAATTCAACCCGGTGAAGGGGCCTCTTGAAGTATAGTAACGTTATTTATAATGCGTTATTATTAATCTATCGATTTAGAGTGAGTGTCACCTGTACTGCAAGAGATCTCACTGAATAAAATCTTTTGTACATTGGAATTCGATAACAAAAACTTTGTGAATCACAAATGTACGCAACAGATCGAAAAGTGACAAGACATTTCACAAACTAGGATTGTGAAAACTATCAATTGCAATTATTAATCAACTCGAAGACACAAATAGTAAAATTAAACATGTTCAATGATAGAAACAAACATTTTCTCATGTTATTGGATAGTTTGTTGAACCTTTTTAAATTTTGTTAATGATCTCTTCATTACGTATAACAAAAATGGCATATCGTTTATTAAGTTCAACAACAGAAAGCCCACTGGAAGTTACACAAAGCCTTTGATCGCTAAAAAGGAAGTTTATCCGCTAATAAGGAAGTTTATATTGCGTGAATGTAAAGCAAATATTGTAATCGGTATTACATAAATCTAAGCAAATACTAAATTAAAAATAAGTGAAGTCAGTGTTGTTATTTGGACATATAAACTGTTAAATTCGGAATAACTGGACTTAAGACTAAGGCTAAATAAAAATATTGAACTTAAGGCTAGTAACAATAAAATTATGATGTGTATGATCACTATTTATTATTTATTGTTTTTTTTTTTTTGTTTTTCTCTTTTTCTTGTTCTAGCTGCCAATGTCTTTGGCATTGGTTATGTGATCTAGTTTTTACAACCTGACTAACCTTAACCCAGTTGTTTCCATACATGGTTACACCTTCTTTAATCAACCCCTTTTCTGTCTTACTCCACATTCGTCTATTGACGAACGGATTAACACAAACTAATGTATCCGCTGCCTTTTTAATTTCCCACCCATTTCTCTCTGGCATCATTTGTTCGATTTTATCCCAATTTTTGCCATATTCTTTTAATAAATCACGTAATTTATCTAATTCTTCAATTGTCCATTTTGGGCTTTGTAAACGTCTGTACCGTACATAAACTGAATGAACCGGCCGTTTTAATATTTCGGAAATCACTCGATAATCTTCTTTATATTGTTTAGCTAGTTCCTGTAATTTCTTATCTTCTTCGGGGCTCCATCTTCCAAATTTTGTTTTCGATAGAACGTTCCATCTTTCTTGAACTTGTGCTGATGACCTATCAGAAAAAAATTTCTTTCGAATTTCGCACCATTTTCCCACACCATACTTATGCGTGGCCATTCTTAGTGTTTCATCATCTTCTGGTGTCCATGTATTATATTCCGACGTTGGTCTTGCTTTAATTTTTTCTAAATGTACATATTTTCGACTTATAGTAGCGGGTGGTCGTTCAGGAAGATATTGTTGAGATATTAAGTTCCAGTTTTTACCATGTTCTTTATATGCTGTTAGAAGTGTGGCGATTTCTTGAGGTGTCCAGCGACTGTATTTTATGCTGCCGATTTTTGATTTTTTTAAAATGTGTTTTACTACAGGTATAATTTTTGGGAGTCCAGGAATTTTGTAGCCTTCCATTGTCATCGATAAAAAAAATAGATCGAAAAAAATAACATATGCAACTGATCTTGCCAATCACAGAGTAACATGAAATGCAATGTTCATGTGAGGATTTCTCACACATACGTGGATCCTGGCGTTATCAACCTGACGATTTGTGTCAGTGTACATCTGAGACATTTTTGCTTTGTTTTTTGTACAATGTAACGGTAAGTCAGAAGCCACTGATATGCAAGGTGCCTACGTATTACGTCGCCTACGCAGAAAATGAGTCTTATTGTTGATAAAGATATGGTTGTTCGCATTATTAACAAAACCATAGGTTCATGGGGACAATGAATTTAAATTTGTAGGACAAGAAACAACTTAAACTTTTCAATGACAAAATGATAATTAATTTTATTGGAGGAACCATTTCGTCAATGCCTCTAAATTAAAACGCTTGAAACATGTTATTTATATTAAGACGAAATGCTTAAAATTTTATAAATAATAAATGTTTATAAAATCACTTACTATATAAAGAAAAATTTTAAATATTACTTGATGTTAATGCTCTTTATGGGATATTTTCCTGTTAAATTCTTATTACGTACCTAATCGTGCTAATGCATGGCACTTAGGAAACTTACAAATCAGATTTATCAATTCAAGCATCTGCAAATGCCTATGTCGGACACACTGGCACTATGTCAGGTATTAACGCCTTTTGCCACTGTTAAAAACACATGACAAAGTATTAGGCATTATTATTAAAGATGCAGGCGCAAAATTGTCAGCCTAAAGCACTTGTGCCTAGGTATCTTTGTGTCAAACAGCCTTATGTTCATAGAACAAAATACCAACTAGTATATAGCTTTTTGTACTTGCATCTACAAAAGCTCTTGGCAATTTAAAGCCAAGCTTTTGTACTACAAAACTTTAAATCTCCAAGCACATTTGTAGATGTAAGTGCGTACAAAATGAATGCTGCCAAGTGAAAACCAAGAAATCTAGAATTCTTTATACAACGAAATGCGGGATTCTAGCCCGATAGATTAAAAAGTCTGCACTTCCTGTTTGATAAAGGATTCTATTTTTAGATTCCTGGTTCTCACTTGGCGGCACTCAACTAGTTATTGTACCCAAGTTACCCGACGGATAAATTCCCAGATTACCGGGTAAATAACAGGTATACCGGTATAACATTTTATCCGATATACCTGCTTCAAATTTTGACAGAAATAGATGACGTATTTATTTTCAAATGACAAAATTTGAAGATCCACAATAGCTTTTGATTCAACGTTTATTTAGCTAATATTAGGATTGGGGAGGGGTAGAGAAAACTTTATATAAAATCGACTTTCTGCCACTTTTTATTAATGCTTCAAAGTAGGTTTTGACTGCCGTTTATTGTATTTTTGTATTTTCTCTTTGCTTTGTTTTGTTTCGTCGGACTGATCCGGAATGATCAAATTTGCGCAACTTGATCAATGATCTTTAAATTTTGATGTGTACATAGATGCACCCTGTATCAACTTTATTTCGTTAAACTAGAATTTCCAGATTTTGAAATTTTGAAATACAAAAATGCCACTTATTTGTTTTCTTTTAAACCCATTTTTTACAGGAGGATCACTAAATTTCCGGGCCGATCCATGAATTTAGGCCGCATTTAGAAATACAAGTCAACCATTTCCGACCCAAAATTATCAGCTGGGCAGATTTACTTAATGAGTGGGTCATGACTTCATTAGTAAAACTTTTAGTAATATTGGTTAATTCCGGCCCTGACGATCACGATTCCGAGGTATTCCGACCCTGAATTTTGGTGACCCCTCTGTATGAGTTTTAAAAACCCCTATTGTGTCGAATTTGGCATCTAAAACTTTTAATTAAACCATATTGATGTTATCAGAAAGTTCTATTGTTTAAAATATCAATAAATAATTACTTTTTACTTTCATTATCCAGTTAGCATCTCGTATGATGGTTACAATTTAGCAACCGGCGTAAAAGTTTGATAACTCCCAAAATGAGAGACGTCAAATTCCAGGCTGCTAAATTTATTATTTATTATTTATTAATAACTAAATTTACTTAATATGATATGCATATGTTTCTGATCGAGGCTGAGTCTAGCAAATAATAAATATAAATAATAAATAATAAATGAAGTCTGGTTTTCCCTTGACGTAATACATATAATTTGAATATATAAATCTGTTAAAAATAAATATTTACTAATTTCAAAATAAGAATTATTTATAAATTTTACTATAAACAAGCTACCTAGAGGATAAAAATAGGTTATCTTAGTAAAGAAAAAATTTACAAACTAAAAAATTTAACATTTATATAAGTATAGATAACTTATATTTTTTACGAAGGTAACATGTTTTAATACATTAAGTAAAGTTGTTTGGTATGAAATTTTACATATAGGTAGTACATTTTCCACTTAGTAAAAAGTCCGAAAAGTGGATTTTGGCAAACTAAATATGTGTAAAATTTCATGCCGAACAACTTTACTTAAAGTGCTAAAACGAGTTATCTTGGTAAAAAAACACGGGCTAGCTATATACAAACGTTAAAATTTTCATTGTAACTTTTTATTTCCAAGATAGCCTATTTTAGTCCTTTAGATAAACTTGTTCAGACCAAATTTTACATATAATTCTTGAAGAATTGCTATTTTTAACTTGTAATAATTTCACCAGGGGCACTATATCTCAAAATTCCACTAGCTAAGCCATGTCAGGGGTAACCCTCAAAAACCAACCTTATTTAAAATTTGAATCTTCATGTCTACCCCTATCTTATAACTAAAACTTGCACTTAACTCTAAATTTTGATAAAAATAAACATAAGGGGTGGTAAAATCACCACCGGTTAAAATCAATTAGAGTCTTAAAATTTATAAATATTTATTTCTAACAAAGTTACATATTCAAGTTACACGATTTTTGCAGAATAATCCGGGTTCATATTTGCCTTCGGGCACGGAATATAAGGCCGCGTGTAACTAGGTTATTCACTACAATAGTTATAATATATTTATTATTACAATTTACTATAGACCTTCTAGTAGTAAACACCTTAATAATTCATGTTGGTCCCAATTCACAAATATCTTATATAGTTTACTCTTTATAAATGCCAACGCTTTCCAAATACATATTTTTTAATTGTTTTACTAAAATCAAAAGATAAGGTGCAACTGTAAATCTTATTTCTTTCTTTAGAAAGTAATTGTGATTATTTATAAAAGAAATTTGTAACATATTTAAAATATAAAAAATGTTGTAAAGATATGATACTTTATAATCATATTATATATAGACTATATCATTGTGAAATAAAAAATAAAGCTAAGAGATATTACAAAAAGTTAGGTTGCAATTTCCCATTCAGCATAACGTTCTAAAAACGTGTGTGATCCCAAATCAAACCATAAATGTCTATCTCTTTCATCTTCAAAAGATATAACATTATTTTGTTCATCTTGTTTCATACTGGCACCAAGTCTCTTGGGCACTACTTTATGAACTGCTCGACGACGCAATCCGACCTTTTCCGCAGTTTTATTCGCACCCATCTTTTTCATATATGCATTAAATTCTTGAATATGATCATACAAAGCAGTAGCTTCAGTAGAAGTTTGAGTTGTTAACATAGATACCAAATTAGAAGCCTCAAAATGTGACGGAGTATGATTCATTTTATATTCTTTGGTTTTTTTCATGAGAATTTCTTCCATTATTCTTATTTTATCAGACTCAGGAATAGAAGGTAGCCAGTTCATAAACAGTGTAATTAAAGTTGCATGTGGATTATTATCATTTAAAAGTGGACGGAATTTGGTTAATGTGGATTTAATACCAACATATAATTCGTCACTAAGATTAGTTACATAAATTCGATCAAACAGCCTGCCTTTTAATTTTTTACCAAGTTCGAGTGCATCTCCATCATATAAATCAAAATTAATAGATAATTTTTGCAACCGATCAGTAAAGTTTTCAAGTTGTTCACGTAAGTAAAAGAAGAACTTTCCATAAAAATCATCATTTGCGGTTCCACACTTGACTTTAGCAATTTCACTTATATTCCACCCATTAAGTGGATCAGAATTATCAGCCATTGTCCAACCAAACATTCGATCTATAATGAACCTATTTGGTACATTATGATGAGCATCCAACGCACCAAATGGGAGAAGAATTCCATGATGACGGAAATTATCAAAACAAATTCGTTCGCCTGGAGTAAGACATTGCATATATCTATGTCGATAGTCTCTGCGTGCAGGATTTAACATAATATTATTGCGAGAATCAACAGCAGTTTGTAGATCAATCTGATTGCTAAGCATCCCTGCAAAGCATATCCAAGTCTCAGAATCAAAATGAGTACGAATCTGGAGTTTACCAAACTCAAATATGTCTTCTTTATTCACCTTTGAATCCATTTTATCTTGAACAAAAATTGTACCAAAAATTTCAAGGCATTTAAGTAATTGTTTATCAGTAAGTGCAGATGAATACCAAATATGAATAACAACATCAATAGCATCCTTTCCGAGTTTTGCGAGCAAATAAAGTATTATAAAATTTCGAATCACAATCCTTTCAGCATGATCATTGATGCAAATATTAATTGGTTGATTAAAATCAAGTGGTAATCCATTGATAGAAGCAATAACATCATTGAGGTCACCACTTGCAGCAAAAAGAAGATTAAAGGGAACCTTATAATCAGAACATGATTTGCCATTAGAAAGCTCATTGGAAGCTAAATTTACAATATCAATTGCTGGCATGTTTCCCCATAAATATTCTGTTGTTAAAGGATTAAAAGAAATAAAAGGCTGACTTTGAGCATAAAATGCAGGAGTTCGCATTTCAATGATATAGTCTGGTTTCCAATCCTTTGACGCGATATCCGATTTACAAGTAATTTTATGTAATTTCCAATGCATTTTTTGACATTCTTTGCTGCAATAAGAGGTAACATGACAACTACTACAAATTTTGTCAGCGATTTTTTTACAGAAGAAATTATTGGCAATGATGATATTTGCACATGTAACTTGTTTAAGTGGTTTACCATCTACGCCGGATCCAAGAAGTTTACTGTTAACACTAAAGAAATTTGTGAGGCGCTCAGAGATAACATGTCCAAGGTTGTTCTGCGTTGCAAATGAAAAGGTATGATCAGCAATTGCTTTCTTGCGGTATTCATTTATTTGATATTGTGTGTAATTATCGTCAACATTAACGGATGATATATTAGAAGTGTCTTTATAAATTTCTTCACTTTTATCTAAAAATTCTTTGAATTTTGCTTCTTTTTCGGCATGTGGTAAAGACCCGAGTTTGTCAAGATATTCATGAAACTTTTCATCATTTTCTTCAAGTGACAGATTTTCAAGTAGCTTTGAAAGAGTTTTATGTACTTGACTTTTGCTGGACATCTTTAATTGCGTGAGTGGGAATTGTATTTATTTTTGAGACAATCTTTATTGTTATTAAAGTCCATTTATGTGTTTAAGTCACCTGTGCGTACGTAATTCCTAAACAAACGTAAAACACTTTAAGATTATTGTCATTCGTTAGATTCCAAAATTGTAAACAATGGCATAATGATAAAGCTAGGTACCACCTTAAATCATGTTTTTTTTTTTTTTTTGGCCGAAATGAACATGAATTTTAATTTAATCTATTTTTTTATTCTCACTGACTCATTCTTTAAACCAGAGTTATGGTTGTAATTGGATTTATTATATGGGCTTTAAAAAATGTGTTAATGAACATAATTTATTGAGATATAGTCATGTATCAACTCGGATAATAATTCTTATACGTAATATAAATATAGTAATACAATATCTCGAGTATTTTAATGTATGTGTAAGTTTGACAAAAGCTAATTATATTAACTTTCAATATAGTGTACGTATTATTTACTAGATCAATGGATCAATCCAAAAATTTTATTTGCACAATGAAAATTGTGTAATTCAAATGTGTTATGTTATATTTCTGAAAATAAAACGTAACTGCACCACAAACTTAGTGATCACATAATTAAGATGCGACAAAGATCGAGAGTTTGAAATCGTTGGTCATAACTAAAGATGCAGACATTAGAAAGTCAAAGGTAACTACCTTTTACGTCACCTTTACGTCATATAATATGCGTCACTATATACGTCACAAACGTCACTGCTATATGTTATATAAAACCTAAGGCATATCGAACAAATTGATAATAATCAGCCGAAGTAAACACACGTGAAACAATCTTAATTAAGAAATTATATAGTGTAACAGCGAAGGTGGTTGATTATGACTTTTATGTGCGAGGAAGAAGCATATAAGGATCATGAAACTCTTAAAAAAACCACCAAATTGTCTTAGTCAAACTTCTGACAAGCCACATTACACCATACCTCCTTAAGTTCTAATTTGTCTTACTACTGCTCATTTTCCACCGTGACAGTAACAAAAAAAAGCAGATAGAAAAAAATCAAATTTCATAGAAATAAATTTTCTTCACATTTGCTATAACCTAAATGTTTATTCAAGTAAATAAAATACTAGATCAATATTCTTCATTTTCATATATGAAGTTTTCTATCGGAAGTTTTTAATTTATTATTATTGGATAGGTTACTATAACTTTCACAATAATTAAATGTTATTACAAATAAAGATTCCATTTTTCAACATATTGATTTAAAAGAAATAAGTGTTTATTTTAGTTGTGCTATGAAATTGCATTTGTAATAAAATGGCATTTTATTTTTTTATTAAATATGTGGCATGTCAATAAATAGAAATCCCATAATTATCACATTAAATTGTTCTCCAAAGTAGTATTTGGTGTCGAAGCCCTAAACTACAGGTTTAGGTTAGAGCCCTAAAGTATATCCTAAACTCTAACCCAAACCTGCAATTTAGGGTTTCGGCACCCAACTCTAAATTTGATGTATATATCTCTCCTTACATTGTTTTTTGGTGTAATAAGAATGGACAAAGCTTATATCAGAGAAAATAAAGAATTTAATTACCTTCCACCGATGCTGGAACTAAAATCAAATACTCTGTTAAAAAACCAAAATTTATTTGAATATTTACAAGACTAATCAATGTCATCTATAGGAAATTGTCTTTCCATAATCGTTAGCATCTTATTAATTGGCTTTTAATTTATATATTAGTCAGAAACTGTGTAAAAACTCTGCTAATATTACATTTGCTTGGTGCATGAAAATTTATTAGAATAAATATTCTATGCACTAATTAGTCTATCAAATGAATGCTCAATAAATTAACTTTAACGAGTTGCTTTGTGGTTATATTATTTAGACTATAATAGCGATAGTTGATTTTAAGATAACAAGCAAGAGGAATCGGAACTGACCTCATTAAAAGGTAACAAGACTGAACAACTAAATTTCAAATACTGTATAATTAGATACTCATTATATAATATATTACAATGATTATTGATACTAATATTTTTTAGAATCTTTTTTTTTAACTCGTGTATATATTTTAAACGAGAACGGAACTTAAAACTTTAGGGTTAGGGTATAAGTTATATAAAAAAAAAATTTAAATTAAATTAAATTCCATTTTCATTAACAACCTATCGTATATACGTATTGCGTATAAGCGCGAAATAACGCCCAATGGCGTTATTTTGAATAATGGTCCGAATTAAGTATAATTTAGGCCAAAATACGAAATTACACCCCTGCGTGTTGTTTCGCGCTTATATATTTATCTTAAAAAGATATTTTTAAGTATTATCCTAGATGCAATTTTTAGTAATTAAAATAGCAAGCAAATATTATAATATAATTTTATTTTAAAATTATAGATTCGGTAAAAGAAATTATGATTGATAATGTTGAATTTGGATTGTACGTTCACGATGATAATTGAAAAATAATCAATATTGAAATAAACATGAATAAACACGGTAAATAGGATTTTAAATAGTTAGAGAAAAACATTATTTTGTAGAAATCAAGTTCAGAAAATCTTGCGGTTCAAAATTTTGAAATCAGAAAAATGAAATGAAAACATATTTTATTAAATCGTACAAACCTTCTCTTGACAAAGTTTATTAATTTCGTATTTTAAAATAAATATATATCGTCTATTCAACAAAGAAATTAAATGACTTGTTCTACTTGATTTATTAATCAGTTTTATCATAAAATATATAAAAAGGTTGCGCCGACTGACATCTCTAAACAAAGGATCATTTTCATACATTAATTCTGTTCTAAATTCTCAATCGAAATTTCATCACCTGGTATTTTGATATTCTAACTGTAGACAATTTATTACCTTGGAGGTTTTTTTTATATCGATAATTCTTTATTCTAATATTTGGATATCATTGTTAACCACTACCCTTGATAATTAGAATTGCGATATCAGATGCTTCTTTGAGATAAATATATTACAGTTGGTGAAGAATAGAACAAAGAAAATATTACATGCCTGAAATTCTATTTAAATTCGAAAGAAAAAAAAGTAATACCCTTCAATTAAGAATGTTTAGTAAAGAATCTGAAAATCATAACCGACGTTTAGAAGACAAAGTGAAGCCAAAAATTTGCAATATCAGATATGAGTGAAAATCCGAAAGTATCAAATAGTTTTTATCTTAAGGAATTCAATCTCTAGTAGCGCTATTGGAAATAGAAACCTGCAAGATAAAAATTATAGATTCATAGAAATCTGACTTACGGATTTTCATTTGGCGACAAATGTTTAAGTCATCAGTTTGAAGACACTCATTCTCGAAAAAACTCAGAAAATACCTCTGAAAATCCTATTAGCATCTAGTGTAAGCACAAAGGATGTTAGGAATTTTATTATAGAAAAAAATTGAATTGCAAGAAGCGAGCTATAAATAACACTTGTCATCCAAGCCTAGATACCCTCATCCTCCAAAGAATTGCTATAGCATATATAAAAAATTGAATAAAAAAACAATTTGAAATTCTATGTACAGTATTATATAGTTTTATGTGTTTGAATAAAGATTAACAATAAAATTTTGTGATATCAGTATGAGCAGCCAAGGTTTGCGATTTTGGACGTGGTAAACTAACTTTATAATAGTTTGAAACTTGACTGATACTATAGTTCTAAGTTCCCTTGAGCTCCATTCCGAATGCAACCTTATTTCTAATAGAATTTTAACCTAGGAACGATATCACTTTATAATCTTGCAAAATATGTTTGCCAGATTACCTAATGAACACAAAGCTTTATATCGATATTGCCTGACTACATTTAGATTTGATGATCTTAATACATTTTTAGGTGTCGTAAAAACAGCCAAACTGGAAAAAACTACATTAAAGAGAAAAGGTAAATATCTTAAACAGTTGAAAAATATTATCGTTATTCGCTTTTACAAACTTATCTCAAACTATTTATTGATGAATTAGTCTGACCGTTGATACCACACATTACCATTGTGAAGAAAAGGTAACGTTCAAAATCCACAGAATTGACGAAATTCAAATAGTTTAAAAACTACGTTCGAAAAACATTGTGGGTGATTATTTCATGCAATGTAAATATAAATGATCATGTACATGTATCACCTTTTTTACACGTTCGCGTTTCTCGCTTTATTTTTTTTTCATAATTTCGTAATAACCAAGTCCAAACTTTCTAAATGGTTAAGATCCAGTGTTATCAAGTAAAATATAAAGAATACACTCAAATCTACCATTGGCTTATTATATAATGCATGTTCATTAAAGGTTTCTCATGAGATTATATCCAAATCACTTCATGATATTCTATATCAGGACGAAGTTTTCGTGAACAATCAAAATTACACACTAGAATAAATAATTTGTTCGAGCAAAAAAAAATACCTCCAAATCATTAAGACCATATGCAGTGTTCAAAAAATAAGTTTATTTCATCTGCTTTTTTGGATCAGAAGTGATTATAATACTAAACAAAACCAACTATTAAACAATATATATTACGCCAAATAAACGGTTCCACCACACAATCCCGACGTGACAATTAATATTTTAAGATTAGTAATAACGATAACATTAACAATCATTGTCGGACTTTAAATTTTTAATTGCCACATCGAATTATGTCAGTATTATGATCTTGGATGTTGGAATTTTGTGGTAAAACATGGAAATTCTGTAATTAGTTACTATTCTATTACTATTCTAAATTTAATATTTTAGTATAAGTTTAAAATTTACACATTTTTCATATTAATAAACCTTATGATTTGTATCAGAGTAAACTCGATTGTTGGTATCTGAGAGAACCTGACCATTTATATCAGAGTAAACTTGTCGATTCGTATCGGAACAGATCTGATTGTTCGTGTCTTTAAGTGGATTGGACATCCTTGCTCTGTGTTTTCTCCGATACAATATAAAGCCAGCGGTCACTAACGCGCCGACCAAAATAAGAGAGCCTATTATACTACCCACTATTGTACCTATCTTTGCATTTATATTGGATAGAGGTGCCAAATTGCCTTGATAATTTGATTTATTTCCCGAAATGAAGTTTATAAATTGCGAATCTTTCGTGATATCAGCAATTGCAACACCTCCTATGTTATAATTTTGTACAAAGTTGAGTTTGACATATAAAGACTGGGAATCCTCATAAGAGATATAATAGTAGTAAGTTGATGGGAGCCCTGTCTGATTCCCTGGCAGGTTCTGGCGCTGTTGATAAATATATGGTTGTTTGGATTTATTATCAAAGCCATAGCTCCAATCTTTACTGGCATTTGCATAACAAAGCGGTGCTAAGAAATTTTTCCATGTCAAATGTGCAAATGACGTAGTTCCACATGGATCTATAATGTTTTCGTCAATAGCTATAGATTGGAACGTAATATTTTGAGAATGTATCACTTCAAAATTTTGATTAGCGATATCCATATTAGGATTATTAACAGTAATAGCTTCAATAATGCCGCCAAATTCAATTCCCAACACGCATTGTGATCTGTTACCAAAATTCCAGGAATCAATAATATTCTGAAGTACATCTATTCCAGCACTAGAGTGTGCATTATAGTTAACGTTAAGTCGATATGCCTAAAGTTTTATAAATAAATAAATAACTATTCATGACTTCACTTTAAAAAATGTTAACCCTTACCTGAAGATTTACAAAACTAATGACGCTAGGGTCGACATTTATGGGATTAATGCCTCCAGTAATCGTCAAAATTTTACTGCTATTACTCTGTTTTAATTGGCTTGATATATCACGTATGAATGGTTCGAAAACTTGTTTTAGAGAATCAGAATTGAATTTTTTTGCTTGCAAGCATGAAGCTTTATTAGGATAGTCAATGTCAATCTACAAGTTAATTAGAGTATATAATTCGTTAATATATATTGAATAACATAAAACAAAAAATTATACTTACCCCATCAAAGTAATCTCTAACAACACTAATTAAATCTTCTATGAAATTGCGAATATCCTGATTATTTTGATCATACTGCCCGGTTGAAACATTAAAAAACGGTGGGAGCTTCATTAAGTCATCATTAACAGGTAACAATACTGAAAGAATTAACTATAAAATAGTCAATTAGTCATCATGATAAGTTATTATTTAAATAAGTCTTTTGAAATATATTTATTTACTTTATAATTCAGATTACTATTTTTATCTTTATAATTTTGCAATTCTTTAAATTTTTTTATTTGATTCTGAAACACAGTATTTGGCCTGGTGTCATTAATAAGATCATTTGGGCCAAATGCTACGAGAATTAAAACCAAATAACATTTGTTAAATTTAATCAATTATAATAATTAAAAGTCATTGAATTATACATACCAATATAGTTTAAATGAGTAATTGACGAACTAATATTAAAATCATCTGCTTTTAAATCATATTTATAAGCTGGATAATATCCAACAATCGTACTTGGTTGTGGCGGCAGCGGCGATTGATTTATCCCACAGTTCTGACTAAAAACCCCAACAACTAAGATGAAAAAGGCATATAATAAATGTATTATGAACTTATAGAAATAATGAAATTCCATGATTGATTTGATAAAGTATAAAAATTGTTCTAATTTGGATGGTTAAGAAATACATCCGAAATTAAGTTTAATAACGGAGTAGAGATCTCAAATGAAAAAAAATACAATTAGATATTAAAATTTGTTGCACACTCGTACGTATGTACAGTACGTACGTACGTGCATTGTGTAAAGATTGAAAGCTTCCTTAGGGAGGTAGCTAGTAAAGTAGTACTGTACGATTGTAAAATATATACGGACATAAGAAAATTGAGCAAACTTCTCATAGTATGTACGGTTAACATAGGTTTGTAAAATTAATTTTTATAAGTCTATTATCTATTTGGCACAAGGATGTGACGAATCATTGGGTGCGGCTAATAAGCATTATTTAATATAATTATTTAGCTAATGCTTATTCGCCACACTGATGATTCGTCACATCATCATGCCAAATGAAAGAGGAGACCTAATACTTTACAAGTAAATCCCTTTTTTATGTTTAGGGTTAGGGCTGGTGCGAGCATTGTTCTTTTTTCGTGTGAGATTATAGGAAAATTAGCTTTGTTTCGAAATATTTTTTTCTTTACAACCCGTATGTATTATCATGATTTCCACATGTCCGTCCCAATTTGCGTTTCCGTACCATACTAATATTCTATTGTGATTCCGGAATCGGCGAGTCTGTCGCTAAATTAATCCAACTCTCGCGTAACCTACGGCGGCTAAGTCGA